TGTGGTGAGATGGTCTGTGGTGAGATGGTGAGATGGTCTGTGGTCAGATGGTCTGTGGTGAGATTGTCTGTGGTGAGATGGTCTGTGGTGAGATGGTCTGTGGTGAGATGGTCTGTGGTGAGATGGTCTGTGGTGAGATGGTCTGTGGTGAGATGGTGAGATGGTCTGTGGTGAGATGGTCTGTGGTGAGATGGTCTGTGGTGAGATGGTCTGTGGTGAGATGGTGAGATGGTCAGTGGTGAGATGGTGAGATGGTCAGTGGTGAGATGGTCTGTGGTGAGATGGTGAGATGGTCTGTGGTGAGATGGTGAGATGGTCTGTGGTGAGATGGTCTGTGGTGAGATGGTCTGTGGTGAGATGGTCTGTGGTGAGATGGTCTGTGGTGAGATGGTATGTGGTGAGATGGTCTGTGGTGAGATGGTGAGATGGTCTGTGGTGAGATGGTCTGTGGTGAGATGGTGAGATGGTCTGTGGTGAGATGGTCTGTGGTGAGATGGTCTGTGGTGAGATGGGGAGATGGTCTGTGGTGAGATGGGGAGATGGTCTTTGGTGAACTGGTCTGTGGTGAGATGGTCTGTGGTGAGATGGTGAGATGGTCTGTGGTGAGATGGTCTGTGGTGAGATAGTCTGTGGTGAGATGGTCTGTGGTGAGATGGTGAGATGGTCTGAGGTGAGATGGTCTGTGGTGAGATGGTCTGTGGTGAGATGGTGAGATGGTCTGTGGTGAGATGGTCTGTGGTGAGATGGTGAGATGGTCTGTGGTGAGATGGTCTGTGGTGAGATGGTCTGTGGTGAGATGGTGAGATGGTCTGTGGTGAGATGTACTCTGGTGAGATGGTCTGTGGAGGATGGTTTGTGGTGATGTTATCGAGTACCTTGATGAAATTATATTGTAAACAATCCAGCCAATGCCTCTATCACAAACCCACCAATCGTTGCCCACCATAATTCTGTCAAAAAGATGACACGTGAAAATAAAAGACCAATCACCAACACTTTAATTTCCCAAGGGACAGACTGCTTTTGTTTCTCCAATGGTAAAATGTTGAAATCTTTACGTTTTGTTGAATAGCTTTTAATAGTACATCGCTATTGGTTTATTTTGTTTTTTCTAAAAGATTCTAAGTTAAAAAAAAAAAAAAACTCTGTGAATCGCAGAAATATATAAATTACTTTCTGTTAGGGAGAGACACAATTTAAAGAAGTATTGTCTTCCATGATCAAACTCTGTCTTTAAAAAAGCCCAAATTAGAGTGTCACGCAATTTTCAAGGTGTGCCTGGTTTGTTTGGTAAAAAATGTCTACTGTATTCTTGTATTTTCACCCGAGCAGTGGCGTAGCGAGGTCGGGTGTCACCCGGTGCGGCACACCCATATTAACCGAAGGTCTCAAATTTTTAAAAGTTTTTGATATGGTTTAGATTTTGGGCACTGAATGAAGGAATGACTATGGATTTTTTTTTAAAATCAATACTTTTTTAAATATCGATTTTTTAAAAACCTTCCCATAAATGGGACGCTAGCAACGAACGGCCTCATGTACATTTATTGAAAAATAAAATCATTTATCAAGAAATATGGCTAATCACGCGAAAATTAAGCTGTATACTGATTTTTTATTGTTAGACCAATAATTACATTGTTTAGGACAGCTAAAATACTGATAATGATCAATTGGGTTAGCCATACCATGGTCTAAAATGCAGAAATTATGTTCAAAAGTCTAGTTTTCTTTCAATCTAGCATCCATCAAAGTTAACAACCCTTGGAAATAAGTAAAGCTGTGACTAGTACATCTAATTATACACACAAAATCACACATATTGGTATTATTTATCGAAAATGTAATATAATTAAATATAAATAATTGATTTGGGGGGGGGCGTACTTGAAATTCTCAGGGGTGGGGACTTAAATTTCAGGGGAAGGGTGGACATTGGTAAAAGTATGTTTTGTATATAAATTTCATTTTGATCTGGAGGCAGAGCCCCTCCCCCTCCTCCAAAATTATGCCTGAAAGAAACTCTGCCCTCAGTGAATTTGCAAAATATGATCCGGTCCTGTCCCAGATTTCATCCAGCCATCTTCTCTTTTGTTACCCTCGCTATTCCCCCCCCCCCCCCTCACAGGCGTACATTAGGACATCAGACTTCTTATTTCTAGGGGACGGATCCGTCTTTGGGGGCTTGGATTGAGTGTTCATGGCTCTCATCCATGTATGCACCTCACTATGCGAACAGCTCCCAATCTAACACCAGGAATCTCCTTAAAAAATGTAACAAAGTAAAACTGGTATCGGGAAACTTTGCAGGGTAATATTATTGGGGCATGACAACTGTACACAGCTAATTCACATTTCTGCTATATTTAGCTTAAGCTCTCTTATATGAAGAGAGTTAACCGAGGGGGGGGGGGGCGGGGGGGGGGTGCGGACCGCACCGGGTGACTCATTTTAGGGGGGTGACACCAAGACAAAAAATAGCAAAATATATAAAGAAAAATTGGAGGGGCGGGGGCAAATCGTAAGTTTGAGGGGAGGGGGGTCGCTTCTGGGGGATGACACCATTAAGTGCCGCACCGTGTGACACCCGACCTGGCTACGGCCTTGCCCCTTAGAGATACAGACCAGACTAAGTAAAGGTAAATAATGGAAAGGACACGCATAAAGTGGGTGTTGGGCGGAGCATATTAAGACAGAAGGACATGCAAAAACCACACACAATGACCGACAGAAAGTAGGATTGGCAAAACGTTAGAAAGAAAAAAATAGCTGATTCATTTTTTTTTTAAAATGTAATTTTGCGACGTCAATAATAAAAACTGTTTAGAACATTGTTCTTATTAATTAAAATAATGTAAATAGGTCTAATGATTTTGAATATTCCAAATAGTGCTAAAATGCGTGTAAAAACGGACTTATTTTTAACTTAATTTAGGTATAATTAAAAATCATTTTAAAATGATTTTTAGCTCAGTTATTACAGATTGATTTAATTAAAGAAGCAGAATGATTTCAATGAATCCGATATGCAGCTTTTTGTACTTGGTCAATTTATATTATTAATACAAATATTAATTTTTGTAATATAAATTAGAATTTAATTAGGATTAGTGTTGAAAGAGAGAATAATTAGCAAAATTCCTACCCGATTAATTAAGTGTGTGTGTTTAAGTGTGATAAATAAATGCGTGGGTATTCGTGTGTTTGTTGGTATGGGCCACAGAAAAAACAACATAAATACTGGAAAGTTTCCACTATTCAGTAAGGTTCTTTGCTAATCTTAATTTTTTTTAATAAAGAAAATGAAATACTATAGGTAATCATTTGTGTGGTTAAAAAATGTAAAACAAGATCCATCGTCCCGACATTCAGAATCTGCTACTTGTCTTGTAACCAACCTATAAAAACATCGTGCACTAGCTGCATACCTGTGCTCCACCACGGTGAATCTTTTTTAAATGTACCAACTTGGGAATAGAACAAAACTAAACCCAAACGCAAGCACAAAGTCAAACACAATGCGAACACAAACACAAAAAAACACACAAACACAACTCAAACACAAACAAAAACGCAAACACAAAAACAAAGCATACGTAAACAAAATGCAATCACAAATGCAAACGCAAAAAAATACAAACAAAAACTCAAATGGAACACGCAAATACAAACACAAAAGAAAAAAACAAACGTAAACAAAAACGCAAACGCAAACACAAATGCAAGCGCAAAAGCACAAACGAAAACGCAAACATAAACACAAACGTCAACGCTAACGTAAACGCAACACGCATAACATAAACACAATTTAAATGAAAACATAAACGCATAGTGTTCACAGTCTAGCCTGGTGCTCTAAAACGCAGCCTGCCTGATTCAACTTAGAAAACGACAATAATACCCCAACATATCCATAAAATAAACAAAAGGCAGTATTTAAAATGTCCATGGGTTATCTACCGTATTGCACTTTATCAGTCCATGCTAATTATACAATTCCAATAATAATTTCCTCTTGGACTGCCGCGGAATTTGTATTCACATTTTTATTTCCATTAGCGTGAGTTGAATATCTTTTTAAATTACCTCCCCTGCACAATTATTAAATATTTTGATTAAATAGTTTTTTCGACTCTATTGTTATTAAAATGTATTTAATTTGTCTAAGAATCTATACGAAAATAGTATTTGACATTGATTCTTTTAATATGTTTTAGCAATATGCGTGTATTTAATATTTACTTCACATTATGCGAAAGAGTAAAAGTTGTGGCAACCATACAAATAAAATTTAAGTCTTTATATAAACAAACCTTACTCTATTTTTTATAATGCGATACAATGTAAAAGCAGGGCATATTACTTAACGGTTCCAAAATCTATAGCTGTGACGGAAAGAAGTTTTCCACACAATTTTAGGTCTCCTAGCAACTAAACACCAACTGTCCACAAACGTTTAGGTTTCCTCCATCTCATTTACTATCTGAAGAGATCGGCACCGTCATTGTACCCTGAATCATGAGCAAAAGAAGACACAACAATAGAGATCCCACTAAAAAAGATTTAGACATTGTTTGATGGGAGCTTTCTTGTCGGTAACCTTAATGACATGAGCTCTCTTGTCGGCGATTCTAACGACATAAGCTATTTTGTCGGTAACGCTAATGACATGAGCTCGATTATCTGCGACATTAATGGCCTAATCTCTCTTATGTCGGTGACACTAATAACATGAGCTATGTTGTCTGTAGCCCTAATGACATGCGCACTATTGTCGTTGACCTTAACGACACAAGCTCTTTTGTCGGTGACCCTAATGACATAAGCTCTCGTTAAGGCATAGAATACTACCACGTCACAGTTTTAAAAAAAGAGAAATAATGTGCTACAATGAGCTGGGCACCCTACACCTCCCCTCCCACGTGACGTCAGTTGAAATAGCTGACACTTTCACTCATCAAAAACAAAACAAAAAAGCATCACGATGTATTGATCTACTTTTATTTTTAGTGAACATTTCTTCTGAGATATTTAACGATGGACAATTTTATCTGATGGTATAATTTTACTAAATGGTATAGTTTTTTTGTTACAAGATGGTAAACAATTTGAACTACTTTCACTTTCCTTTCATTGGGTCGAAATGCCATCTGACGAGGGCGTCACCGTGCCCCAGGGGGCCGGGGTTGTAGACCGCCTCTGGGAGGGGGTACTTGCAGTAGACAGAGCTGCAGACGTAGTCTTTGAACTGGCAGCAGGATGGGTACACGGGCTCGTGAACACGGGCAGGGTACTGCAGGGGGTGGGGGAGTAAAAGAAAGATCGGCGATGGATAATAGTTATTTTATTACAAGTCTTAATTTAGTTCACAGCCTCTGTGTGTTGTTTGTACGCGGGCTTGAATTTCTTATTTTCAGTGCATTTAAAAGTTTGTTGCTATAAAGGTTTTTATAAATATTTCTTTTAAAAATAGGATAAAAAATAAAATGTCGATAAATATCGTATTTTTAAAATGTCAAAATTATCTGATATTTCGTTGATGTTTAATATCTCTAACAGATGATTTAAGACAGCACATCTTGGTAGTAAGGTTATTAGTAGGGTTATAACTAAGGTTACTAGTATGGTTGGTATTTGGGATGATAGTAGGGTTGGTACTAGGGTTGTAAGTAGAGTTGTTATTTAGGTTGATAGTATAGTTGTTAGTAGGGTTGTTATTAGGGTTGTTATTAGGGTTGTTATTAGGGTGGATAGTATATCAAATTGAGCGTAGAGCCAGATAGTAGTCACAAACTACAGCTGATATCTGACAATTTATGTATCATAAAACACTGACACATTGAATCTGTCATGGACATATGACATACCGTGTGACACTGACACATTGAATCTGTCATGGACATATGACACACCATGTGACACTTACACACGGAATCTGTCGCTGAATTATGACACACCGTGTGACACTGACACGTTGAATCTATCATGGACATATGACACACCATGTGACACTGACACATTGAATCTGTCATGGACATATGACACACCGTGTGACACTAACACACGGTATCTGTCATTGACATATGACACACCGTGTGACACTGACACATTGAATCTGTCATGGACATACGACACAGCATGTGACAATGACACATTGAATCTGTCGCTGAAGTATGACACACCGTGTGACACTGACACATTGAATCTGTCATGGACATATGACACACCATGTGACACTAACACATTGAATCTGTCATGGACATACGACACAGCATGTGACACTGACACGTTGAATCTGTCATGGACATATTACACACCGTGTGACACTGACACATTGAATCTGTCATGGACATATGACACACCATGTGACACTGACACATTGAATCTGTCATGGACATACGACACACCATGTGACACTGACACATTGAATCCGTCATGGACATACGACACAGCATGTGACACTAACACTTAAATATGACACACGATGTGACACTGACACTTACATGACAGACCGCAGGTGACTTCTCGTGTCGTTCCTCCCGTAGCCTCCACGTAAGGGGCTCCTCATGACTGTGGGGGTAGGGGCAGTTGATCATGGTGTGGTTGCCCATCCATTTCGTCACCCGGGTCATCTCGTCAATTGACAGATCGTATGTGTTAAATATGTCCTGGTTATATGGGCCGTAGCTGTAAACAGACAGATCGTATGTGTTAAATATGTCCTGGTTGTATGGCCCGTAGCTGTAAACAGACAGACCGTATGTGTTAAATATGTCCTGGTTGTATGGCCCGTAGCTGTAAACAGACAGACCGTATGTGTTAAATATGTCCTGGTTGTATGGCCCGTAGCTGTAAACAGACAGACCGTATGTGTTAAATATGTCCTGGTTGTATCGGCCGTAGCTGTAAACAGACAGATCGTGTGTGTTAAGGGTCCTAGGTGCGTTGACCACAGGTGCTTTGATCATAGGGGTTTTGGCCACAAGTACCCATCGCAGTTTGTTAGAATAACAGCCACCCACCTGCATTAAGAAGGCGTGGTCTCGCTGAAAGAACAGCCACCCACTTGCATTAAGAAGGCGTGGTCTCGCTAAAATAAAAACCACCCACTTGCATCAAGAAGGCGTGGTGCTCGGTAAAACAACAGACACCTAAATGCACTTAGAAGGCGTGGTCTCGCTAAAACAAAAACCACCTACCTGCACTTAGAAGGTGTGGTCTCGCTAAAACAAAAACCACCTACCTGCACTTAGAAGGCGTGGTCTCGTTGAACCTCAGGTCCATGATCTCTGAGATGACAGGCGGGTACCTGTAGGCCACCATCCCGTGATGGAAGAAGTCGGAGTTTGGATATTTGTTCCTGTTCCACATCTTGTCTCGGATTTCACTGCGAGACAGAACGAGACTGCGCGTGTTAGCATAAAGTGTTACATAACTTCAAAGCATTGAAAGATAAATACCTGGGAAAAGAATTGTTGTTACGACATTTTCTCAAGTAGAGCATTTGAACCCATAACGTAGCTATCTGTCAGCTTCACCTGTCCTCTAACTCACAAGCCCACAAGCTCATCTGTCACCTTTGTTCAGCTGTCCCTTATCTCACCTCTCCTATTTGCTCACAAATCCCTTATCTTACCTGTCTTATTATCTCACCTGTCACCTATCTCAGGTGTCCCCTGTCTCACCTGCCCCTTATCTCACCTGTCCATAAACTTACCTTTCCCATATCTCAGCTGTCCCCTGTGTCACCTGTCTCCTATCTTACCTGTCCCTTATCTCTCTTTTCACATTAGCTCAAGTGTACTATTAGCTTACCTGGCTACGTGGCTGCGGCAGTTCCCAGAATGGATGATGGTGTGTATGAAGTCTGGCGCCGCGTGGTTTCCGGTTTCACGGATGGTTGCGTAGTTCAGTCTTCGTCTTAACCACTTCTCGTAGATGCTGGGTGGTACAAATGTGGTCAAACCGTGGTCAAACTGGCAGTTAAATGATGGTCAATTGGTGGGAAAATTGTGGTCAAATAGTCGTCAAATGATGGATAATTTAATATTGGTAGAATCTAGTGTAATAAGAGGCAAAACGCAGAGAAAAGTGTTATAATTTCAGGGAATTAGAGGGTTACAAAGGCATACAAATAGGCTACAGTCGTTTGCAAATAAATACTTACGACATATACTTAAATAAGATGGACATACAAAATACCAAACAAAGACTTGTTGCAAAATAAAAAAAAAACAGCAGCCAATAGATAAGGATATCAAGGCCAGTAAATTGGGATGGATTGGTCAAACGCTAAGAAGAGAAGAAGGAACTATTGCAAACAATGCTAAGGACTGGAATCCCCAGGGAAAAAGGAAAGTGGGTCGGCCAAAGATATCGTGGAAAAGAACGGTAGAGGGAGAGGCAAAGATCGCTGGGCTCACGTGGGCACTGATAAGGGGAGCAGCCCAAAACCGAGTCCGCTAGAAAGTGTAACTGCAGCCCTCTGCTCCCCATGGGTTACAAAGGAAAAGTGATGATGAACAATGTTGTTTTCTGGTAAAGTGTAAAAGGATCTGTTATCGGCGGGTACCCGCAGGTATTTGTCATATTTCCAACATGGCATTGACAGTAGGCAGTTTCTTCTTGTCGCCATTTAATCTTTGGGCCTTTGATTGGGTGAGGGGTAGGAGGATGTCTAATGTTTAGAAGATAAGAAGCTTTAAATTATTCGGCCGGGTCTTATCAGCTGACACATCAATGGTGTTGTTTCTGGGTGTGTTGTCCTGCAAGTCTGTAGGTGGTGTTTGAGGTTGGGTAGTCTGTCTGGAATGTCTGTCTGTGTAGTCTGTCTATTCTGGGTAGTCTAGTCTTGGTGGTCTGGGAACAATCAGCTAACTGTAGCTGCTACAGTTGATGTTTCAGACATTGTGTGGTGAGGTACATCTGAATACACACACACACAAACACACACACAAACAAACACACAGATACTAAAGCATCTACTCACTTTTGGCGGATGCCGTCAGTTTCTTGGTTGAGGTAACACTGTCGCATGGTGCTACGGCGGTTGGCCTTCAGTGTGGGCTACAGTGGCGGGCCTTTAGTGTGGGCTACAGTGGCGGGCCTTTAGTGTGGGCTACAGCGGTGGGCCTTCAGTGTGGGCTACAGTGACGGGCCTTCAGTGTGGGCTACAGTGGCGGGCCTACAATGTGGGCTACAGCAGCGGGCCTTCAGTGTGAGCTGCATGCACTTCTGTTGATGAATTGTGTACAATCATCGTGACAATTGAAGTTAGAATTATCACGATTAGAGTACACAAATAATATTACAAATGTCACAAATGGTCAAGATATGTAAATTAAGACCACTACAGACACCATTGTTCAAGATATGTAAATAAAGACAATTTCAGACACCATTGGTCAAGATATGTAAATAAAGACCACTACAGACACCATTGGTCAAGATATGTAAATAAAGACCACTTCAGACACCATTGGTCAAGATATGTAAATAAAGACCACTTCAGACACCATTGGTCAAGATATGTAAATAAAGACCACTTCAGACACCATTGGTCAAGATATGTAAATAAAGACCACTTCCGACACCATTGGTCAAGATATGTAAATAAAGACCACTACAGACACCATTGGTCAAGATATGTAAATAAAGACCACTACAGACACCATTGGTCAAGCTATGTAAATAAAGACCACTTCCGACACCATTGGTCAAGATATGTAAATAAAGACCACTACAGACACCATTGGTCAAGATATGTAAATAAAGACCACTTCAGACACCATTGGTCAAGATATGTAAATAAAGACCACTTCAGACACCATTGGTCAAGATATGTAAATAAAGACCACTTCAGACACCATTGGTCAAGATATGTAAATAAAGACCACTACAGACACCATTGGTCAATATATGTAAATAAAGACCACTTCAGACGTAATTTTGTGACTGTGTGTGATGAGGGGGGTGGGGGCGTTAAGATGGTGCGACGTCACACTTTTGCATTGTAAAAAGGCAATGTTATAAAACTAATTGTAGCCGTTATTTTGCGTTTTAGAAAATTATTTTAATAAATTGTAATAGGAATTGATTAAAATACTCTATTTTGACAGAGTTCAGACAAGATTTTAGAAAAATATCGATGTTTTAAAAAAAAATTCATCTGCAATTTGGAGGGGGGGGGGGGTTGTAGGCTGAGGTGTGACGTCATTTTAGGGGGGGGGGTCTGGCTTTTTGTGGCGACGTGTGACTGAGTAGAGGGGGGGAGGTAAAAATGATCAAAAAGCGTGAGTTCATTTATGGATGACCCCCAAACAACTAAATTCTGACCTTTTGTCGTATTGATTATTCTCAACGAATCATGTAGCTAAATATGGACTGTACTCGGGGACATGATAAATCTACTAGGACATGACTTCAAAACACATTAACTAGACTATTAAGGCCATCTTTATTTATATTTTCATTTTTTTTTTAAATTAGAAACTTTTTTATTTTATTTTGTTTTGTTTAATTACAAAATGAAACAATTTTTTTAAAATTTTGTCTAGACGCTGGAAGTACTAAAAAATCAAATAAATCTATCACAAATTTTCAGTAAGTCTGATCAAAACCAAACCATCAAATGTTTGTAACTACATTTACTTTAATAACACCGCACACATAATTTATTGAAATATTTAATGAAACCTTCGAAACTTCCCGCTGAGCTCCACTATTATGATTATTCCTAAAGACTTCGCAGATAAAGCTTTAGCTTTCAGATGGCTAAGCTATGCGACCTTTTTTTTTTTTGGTTTTTTAAATAAGCTTAAAATAATGGCCATACCATTTGTATTACTTTAGACTACAACTTACGATCAAATCTTGACTTGCCTGTGCACTTTAGATTTTGAAGCGATACTTAACAAATCCAGACAGATTTACCAAAAAAAAAAGTTGTAGATACAACTCTTTATCCGGAAGTTTAGGTATTCTGGGTGAGTGTTGTGGGAGTAACAATTTGGGTCTGAGAGTAAATGTATTTAAAACGTTATAAGCTCTCTAGGACTATTTCACAATGTTTGATTTGGGGTTTTTTTTCAGTCATTTTTTCTCCTCTTCATGATCATAACAAACCCAAGATGACATTTTTTTCCGGTTGCACTATTCATTTAGTTAAATGACACTACGCAATCAATTTTATTCTATAATATATAGGCCTACATTAAATCTTTAAGAGGACCGATTCAAAGAATGATTCCTCAATTTTACTGCTTTTTTACTTTCTTGTATACGTAGTATAAAGGAAATATTGTAATCCCTGAGTGGGAATACATAGTTTTGCAATAGGGTTTTTAAGTCTCGAAATCTTCTAGCTGGCAAGTACGTGAACGAGAAGTTGTGACCTACTTACAAGCTCTATTGTGTCCATATGTCTCGGTGTGTATGTGTGTATGTATGTGTGTATGTATGTGTGTATGTGTATCAGTGAACACGATAACTTAAGTACCGTTATAGCTAGGTTGATGAAATTTTATACATAAGTATTATATCAAATTTTTAGCAATTTCCGGTAACCGGAAGTGGAACCAATTATACTTTCAATTTTTCAAAAGCGTATAACTTAAGAACTATTTCAGATAAATAAACGAAATTTCACATGTAAATACGAGATCTAATTTTCTGTCTTTTGTCAAATTTTGAGTAATTTCAGCTAACCGGAAGTAGTAACTTACGCTATCTCCGATTTCTCAAAAAATGCATTGTGAATTTATAAAGTACTCATAATATTCCGCACTATTATACACATTTTGTTTGGCGTTAGCTTGGTGATAATTTTTTATACGCGATTCTATTCTATTTTAAAATGTTTAAGTAATTAATATACCGTGAATGATCTCACCTCTCGTATATTCTTATATAACACTACGGGGTATGGCAACTCGGGATATAGACAATATTTTAAATCCATTTTTAATTACTTAAACTTTTAAAAATAGAATAGAATCTCGTAAAAAAAAAGAATTGCACACAAAGTGAAAGCTAAAATAAAATGTGCATAATAGTGCGAAATATTATTTGTACTTTATAAATTCACATGCGGTTTTTTTTTGAGAAATCTGAAATAGCGTAAGTTACTAGTACTCAAGTTATAGGCTTTTGAAAAATTGAAATTAGAACAAGATCCACTTCCGTATATCGGATATCGCGGAACAGTCGGTACTGATCTACAAATTTGATATAATACTAATATATGAATTTTCATCCACCTAGCTGTAACGGTACTCAAGTTATAGTGTTTACAGACAAACACGCACACACACACACATACGGACAAAATTGTATACCAGAAAGTAAAAATGTATTAAAAATCATATCCATATCCCGAGTTGCCATCCCCCGTAGTGTTGTAAAAGAATATGCGAAAAAGTTTAGGGGAGATCACTCCCGTTTTGTTTAAAAATTACAACAAATCTCTGAATCAAATGTAGTTTGGCTAAACAACCCTCCCCCTCCCTCCCTCTGCACCGTCTAGTGGTCAACACGCCACGTAATCGTTTATCTTAACAATAGTTTTTCATCGAAAATCTGGACATTTTATATTTTTTTTTAATTTAAATTTTTAAAAATCGATAAAAAATCTTGCTAGATTTTAAACAAAAAGATTAAAGCATTACATTTATGACAAATATAAAATGAATATATTACAGAAATAATTATAAGAATCATGTGATGAGATTTTTAAAAAGTATCAGCTGTAGTATTTTCTAGGGTAGTGGTAGCACATATCTGTTTTCTAGAGAGATTGGTATTAGAGATCTATTTTCTAGAGAGATTGGTATTAGAGATCTATTTTTAGAGAGATTGGTATTAGAGATCTATTTTCTATAGAGTTTGGTATTAGAGATCTATTTTCTAGAGAGATTGGTATTAGAGATCTATTTTCTAGAGAGATTGGTATTAGAGATCTATTTTCTAGAGAGATTGGTATTAGAGATCTATTTTCTATAGAGATTGGTATTAGAGATCTATTTTCTATAGAGATTGGTATTAGAGATCTATTTTCTAGAGAGATTGGTATTAGAGATCTATTTTTAGAGAGATTGGTATTAGAGATCTATTTTCTAGAGAGATTGGTATTAGAGATCTATTTTCTAGAGAGATTGGTATTAGAGATCTATTTTCTATAGAGATTGGTATTAGAGATCTATTTTCTAGAGAGATTGGTATTAGAGATCTATTTTTAGAGAGATTGGTATTAGAGATCTATTTTCTAGAGAGATTGATATTAGAGATCTATTTTTAGAGAGATTGGTATTAGAGATCTATTTTTAGAGAGATTGGTATTAGAGATCTATTTTTAGAGAGATTGGTATTAGAGATCTATTTTCTAGAGAGATTGGTATTAGAGATCTATTTTCTAGAGAGATTGGTATTAGAGATCTTTTTTCTATAGAGATTGGTATTAGAGATCTATTTTCTAGAGAGATTGGTATTAGAGATCTATTTTTAGAGAGATTGGTATTAGAGATCTATTTTCTAGAGAGATTGATATTAGAGATCTATTTTTAGAGAGATTGGTATTAGAGATCTATTTTTAGAGAGATTGGTATTAGAGATCTATTTTTAGAGAGATTGGTATTAGAGATCTATTTTCTAGAGGTAGTGTTATCGGAGATCTATTTTTAGATTCAGCGTGTCCAGAGAAGGCACTGTTAGAAATAAGAGCATTGATTTTACCTCTGTATAATCGGCTTTATCGAAAGTTCTAGAACAAATTAAACGTCCGGGGGTTGTCGTGGGAGCTGTTTACCATGGGGCGGTCCCCAGTTTTTTTTTATCTCAGGTAATTAAAACTCACAGTTGCGGCTCCTGCTCTGCTAATCAGTGTTTGCTTAATTATTCTGGAATGTAATTTCTAAAATCTATGACTTGATTGTTTGGGCATATTTTGCAACGTTTAGTTAATGTTACACCCCCCCACTTCCCCCTACCACCCCCACGGTTATAAATACAGCTTGATGTAGCTCGTTTTCTCTATCATTAGCAGGTTTACGTCATGATGTCAGCCCCACCCCCCCCCCCCCCCCCTCCCGTCTTCACCCTTGTCAGGATTTGTCAACTTTGCTCTTAAAAAAGTATGTAACTCACTCTAATTAATCACTTAAATAAGTGGAAATATCATTTTTCTGTATATATTTTGCTATTTTTTGCCTTGGTGTCACCCCCCCCCCCTAAATGGTGTCACCCGGTGCGGTCCGCACCCCACGCCCCTCCCCCCTCGCTACGCCTCTAGGCCAGCCTGAAAAAAATAAATGCTATGTAGTGTTTTTCAAATATTTACCTTGTTTCAAGCATACTTAGCTGAACATTTATTCGGTAATTATTGCCTGGTTTTCACACCCGACACACCTGCGACACTTTTATATTTCATATTTAATTGTAAAATAATAAAACACATAATTTAAAGTTTTTTTTTTAATACAAAGCACAATCATGGAAAATGTTTGAGCAATCAGTCAACATCAGTGAATACTAACTGCTATCTATGTTTAAGGCAAAAGTGTAATTTTAGGATTCAAGCATGCAATTTTTTATTACAGGTCTGGTCAAGGCGTAAATGTAAAGTTGGCAGGTATAAAATTTAATAATTACACAAATTAGGACCATCCATATATGTCGTCACACATTTAAACCCCTACCGCAGTACTGATTAGTCATCAAAATCCTATATCTCTATGCAATAACGTCACATCCATTACTCTCTACTATATTAACTGACCTCGCTCAATAGTAAGGTACAATAATTAGCATTCTTTTAATTAACAATTATAAAACAATTTTAGAAACATGCAAAAGTTAAAATCCGATAGGAAAATTACTTTGTATAATGGCAATACGTGACTTCATACTTTCTTACTCCCCACCCTTCATCCCCTACTCGTGGAAGCAAATTAAAATCAAAATCACCTACTTTCCTATTCCTTTTGACAGACACCCACAAATAGGCTATGTAGGCCTATATATCCCGAAAGTATGACATTATGTATGGACGGCCCCTTCAAGACATATTATTGTTACTTTTAAAATGGAACATAATATTTCGATTTTAGGTACACATAAACAAATATGTTTTTCACAAAACAGACTAAGGCGAGTTATTGTGTTTTTGCCCAGCACACCGGAAGTGCAGCACAGAAAAAATGGCTGTGCGGTACTTCCGGTTGTGGCCAGCGTAAATAAAAACGTTCATGCCAGAGTTGAGGAAGGCGATGAAAGGCGCCCAGTTGATAACCCAATTTGGCATGTTGACAAGGCCGTACAGGAGACAGAGGAAAAAACCTGGCAACATGCAGACGATGAACACAACTTGGGTCAGGAATATCGTTTTTAGCAGACGCGTGCTAGACTTGGACAAATTTTTCTCCACAAGTTTTCGAGACACGAAAGGCTCAGTGTAAATTCTCGGAGGACTGTTCCGAGGTTCTCGCGAGATCTCATCTACAGATCGCTGAGAACCAGAGCTAATAGATTTACTGTTTTTTGGTTGCTGGTTGGGTAAGTATATCTTTAGAGACGAATGTCTTGAAGAGTGTCTTTGTAGGTGGTCCGCTAAGTTTTTAGGATTTAGTGCCTGTTCATATATATTGGAATGATAGAATCTGCATTCAGCTCTCATTGGTGAGAGCTTGTCTCCAAAATCCTCTAGAGTTCTAGATTTGGTTAGAGGTCTGCACGTTAAAGCTTGTTTATGGGTACGGAATGTTGTGATGCTATCAATCTCATCTGCTGAACACAACGTAGCTAACGGTTGAAAGTGAAAATGTAAAGATGGCATTGAATAATTCAGCCTAACGGTTTCTTTACTGTTCTGAATGCTCAGTTCAGAATTCGTTTCCATCTGAATCTGATCAGTTGGCTTAAAATAGATTGGTGCGCTACCTGATACGTAATTGTATGCTATTATTTTCTTTGGCTGGTAATTTATAGGCCACGATCTGTCGCTATCGTTTTTGTTTGTGCTAATTATGGGCATGCTTCGCCATTGTCTCAAGCCCAGCACACAATGTTCTTTAAAATGACATAGATCGTATCTGTCCTTGAGTGTAGCGGGTGAATGCTCTTCGTTGCCGTGTGTTGGTAAATAGTGTATGTTACATGATGTTCGGGCAAGGCACGGTTCTGTTAATGACTTCCTGGTGTGTAGACGTGACTTAGACCCCGGTGGACGATGGTAAACATTGCAAGGTTCTAGACGTATGTGGCCTTGCTTGCAGTCAACTGGAGGCCAAGAGCAAAGGTCACAAAGGTTACAACTATTTGCAAGGTTTGGATTTTCTACTAGGACATTACATTTGCTTGTACAGCTGTAGGCAACCCAATTGTTGACTGGACGATAGCTACTGCCACAGTGCCGAGGATCTGAAGAGGTCCGAGTGTTTTTGTTGCTGGCATTTAACACGGGGTGAGTGACGGATCTAACAGCTGGCCGCAGACTCTGTGAAACCTCTGGGGCGTGAATGAAAACAAAACCACATCTAGGCGATAGGTACTTGTCGTCTTCCACTCCCGAATTCTGCCTTAAATTGAAGTATTCGTGTCTTCGACAAAATGTTCTCATGCAAGTTTTAGGCTGTCCGTGTTGATGCAAGTTTGCCGGAAGTGACGTGTGATAGCAGGGTCTTGAAGCTCGCCTTTCGTCCTTGACCCGGGCATCTTGCGAGTTTGTGAGTGGTAGATCTGAATCAACGTTTATTCCAGAGTCAGAGACCACTATTTGTTCCTTGAGAATTTCCGAAGGTATCATCCGTTCTATCAAAAGACGATTCACATTTTTTAAACCAAATATTATTTGCCGTTTTCTGCTGAAGTGGGGATAGCGTCTGTACGGAAATGTCCGATTATGTTTATCTGAAAGTACAAAGATAATTGTTTTACACCTAACAGTTACAATTATAAATATTTCAAACTGTAAAAGTATGACAAGCACTGAACTTGAACAGATACTTTATTTACGATTCAAATAGGACACTACGGGGGATAGCAACTCGGGATATAGACAATATTTTAAATCAAATTTTAATTACTTAAACTTTTTAAACTAGAATAGAATCTCGTAGAAAAAAGAATTGCACACCAAGTAAACGCTAAATAAAATGTGTATAGTAATACGGAATATTATTAGTACTTTATAAAATTATATGCGTTTGTTGCAAAATCGGAAATAGAGTAAATTACTACTTAAGGCCCACGGAAGTTACTCAAAATTTAACAGAAGACAGAGAATTAAATATTTGAATTGGTTGTGAAATTTCATTTACCTATCTGAAATAGTACTCAAGTTATAGACTTTTGAAAAATTGAAAGTAGAAAAATTTCCCCTTCCTTTTATCGGAAATCGTTGAAAAATATGAAATAATACTTATGTATGAAATTTAACAACCTATCTGTAACGGTACTCAAGTTATCGTGTTTACAGACACACACACATACACACACACATACACACACACAGACATACGGACAAGATTGCAAAACTATGTTTTTCCTATTCAGGGAGGTGTAAAACGTCGAGATTTGCAAAAATTTCGATTTTCTTCACGATTACCAGACTTTCTCTATACTTCGTATATACGAGAAAGTAAAAATATTTGCATCCAACTTGAAAGACAAACATTGTTCTTGTAGTAGATCTGATAATCTATTTCAAATCGACAAGCCCATAATTTACTTCTACAGTTTATTTATAGCTTTAACGTTGTAAATTACAAATCTTCCTTAAATGTTTTTAAGATAACGTGATAATGTTATGTGCTATGATTAAGCCAAGTTATATATTAAGGGAACAGGGCATTTCCCCCCTGTCAATTACCCCCCCGGACATTTCCCCCCGACATTACCGCCCAGAGTAATTACCCCCCCCCCCTGTCAATTACCCCCCCCCCCCCCGCCCAGTAGGACATTACCCCCCGGACAGGGTTAGAGTTAGGGTTAGGGCTAGGTTTAGGGTTAGGGTTAGGTGTTGGGCTAGGGTTAGGGTTAGGGTTAGGGCTAGGATTAGGGCTAGGGTTAGGGTTAGGGCTAGGGTTAGGGTTAGAGCTAGTGTAATGGTTAGGGTTAGGGTTGTGTCTAGCGTTGGTTTTGGTTTTGTGTGAAGTTTTAGGCTAAGGTGGGTGCTTAGGTTTTGGTCTTTTTCTTAAGGTTTGGATTAAAGTTAAAGTAGTATAAAGGTATAGAATTCTAGTTAGAGTTAGGATTCTAACTTGAGAGGGGGGGTGGGGTAATTCCCCGGGGGGGGGGGGGGGCGGGGGTAATTGCTCCGGGGGGTAAATACGAAGGGGGGGGGGGGGAAATGTCCGGGGGGGATTTCCAGTGGGTAATGTCCTGTAGCCATATATTAAACCATACTTACGTGCTAAACTTCTGTTAAACCAAACTAATGTGCTAAACTTCTGTTAAACCAAACTTACGTGCTAAACTTATGTTAAACCAAACTTACGTGCTGAAGTTCTGAGAGTATTGTAGTTATCGTGGAAGACCCACCAAATTATGCAGTAGCAGACGATACTGAGTGAAATACCAGAGAAACTGAGAACTGTCGTCAGGTAACGGACGTACCAGACTTCGGCCTGGAATAGTTAAATAAAACGTAACAAACATACTCAGCATATAAAAGGAAAACTGTAAAGCTCCAAGCAAACTAAGCGATACAATAGCAATGTCCGTTCCCGGTCGAGCGCACAGTTGTCCTTTATGGAAATCTATCAAAGGCTGGACAGTACCTTTAAAATTTAGTTCAAGCGAGTACTGACCTGCACCATGAGCAGACATTTCTGGTCAGGTGAGTACCTGTTGAAGGCCATCGGCAGAAGTCCGTACACGAGCGAGCACGCCCAGACTCCAATGATGATAAACGCTGTACGTCGTCTGACGTCACGACTAGAGTCAGCAGCGTCAGAAAGAAAGAAATTCACGTCAAAACAAAAAGATCGAATACAAGTCTTGTCACCAACGGATACAAATGAAAAAAGCTTCATACATTAATTTTATTTAATTCTCTTTGTGGATATCATAATTAACATTTGTAGACCTAATTAAATAATAAGTAACTGGTATATTGAAAACTAGTTTACTAAGTGAAGGGCAGTGTTTCTTCCAGACTTTTTTCTCCGGGGGGGGGGGGGGGTTGCACTTGATATTTTCGGGGGGGGGGGGGGGTGGTCAATATTTTCCTAACCCTAACCACTAGTAAAAGTATATGTTTACTATATATATATATATATATATATATCCATTTCGTTCGGGGTGCGGTAGACTTTTTTCGGAGGGGGGGGGGGGGGGGGGCTCAAAGAGATGCCTGGAAGAAGCTCTGATGAAGAGGTTATGCCAAGCAAAAGGCGTGGGCGTTGGGAATGTAAGGAGACTTTGTAAGCAACTAGACTCTGCCTTTTGCTGTTGATCCTTAGATAAATGTTTCTTGTTTTCGTTATCCACACATCAAGTAGGTAGGCTACTTCACAAACTATTTTTACAGATCAAAATTGTATTTGATTAATTAGTTGAAGTCTACTTAAGTTTCTGTAACCAAAGCATTAGTGTTATGGACGGATAAAAGATCTACTCACTTTTTATAATGTATGGATTAAAGATCTACTCACTTTTTGTAATGGATGGATTAAAGATCTACTCACTTTTTATAATGTATGGATTAAAGATCTACTCACTTTTTGTAATGGATGGATTAAAGATCTACTCACTTTTTGTAATGGATGGATTAAAGATCTACTCACTTTTTGTAATGGATGGATTAAAGATCTAATCACTTTTTGTAATGGATGGATTAAAGATCTACTCACTTTTTGTAATGGATGGATTAAAGATCTACCCACTTTTTGTAATGGATGGATTAAAGATCTACTCACTTTTTGTAATGGATGGATTAAAGATCTACTCACTTTTTGTAATGGATGGATTAAAGATCTACTCACTTTTTGTAGTGGATGGATTAAAGATCTACTCACTTTTTGTAATGGATGGATTAAAGATCTACTCACTTTTTGTAGTGGATGGATTAAAGATCTACTCACTTTTTGTAATGTATGGATTAAAGATCTACTTACTTTTTGTAATGGATGGATTAAAGATCTACTCACTTTTTGTAATGGATGGATTAAAGATCTACTCACTTTTTGTAATGGATGGATTAAAGATCTACTCACTTTTTGTAGTGGATGGATTAAAGATCTACTCACTTTTTGTAATGGATGGATTAAAGATCTACTCACTTTTTGTAGTGGATGGATTAAAGATCTACTCACTTTTTGTAATGGATGGATTAAAGATCTACTCACTTTTTGTAGTGGATGGATTAAAGATCTACTCACTTTTTGTAATGGATGGATTAGAGATCTACTCACTTTTTGTAATGGATGGATTAAAAATCTACTCACTTTTTGAAGTGGATGGATTAAAGATCTACTCACTTTTTGTAATGGATGGATTAAAGATCTACTCACTTTTTGTAATGGATGGATTAAAGATCTACTCACTTTTTGTAGTGGATGGATTAAAGATCTACTCACTTTTTGTAATGAATGGATTAAAGATCTAATCACTTGTTGTAATGGATGGATTAAAGATCTACTCACTTTTTGTAGTGGATGGATTAAAGATCTACTCACTTTTTGTAATGTATGGATTAAAGATCTACTCACGTTTTGTAATGTATGGATTAAAGATCTACTCACTTTTTGTTATGGATGGATTAAAGATCTACTCACTTTTTGCAATGGATGGATTAAAGATCTACTCACTTTTTGTAATGGATGGATTAAAGATCTACTCACTTTTTGTAATGTATGGATTAAAGATCTACTTACTTTTTGTAATGGATGGATTAAAGATCTACTCACGTTTTGTAATGGATGGATTAAAGATCTACTCACTTTTTGTAATGGATGGATTAAAGATCTACTCACTTTTTGTAGTGGATGGATTAAAGATCTACTCACTTTTTGTAATGGATGGATTAAAGATCTACTCACTTTTTGTAGTGGATGGATTAAAAATCTACTCACTTTTTGTAATGGATGGATTAAAGATCTACTCACTTTTTGTAGTGGATGGATTAAAGATCTACTCACTTTTTGTAATGGATGGATTAAAGATCTACTCACTTTTTGTAATGGATGGATTAAAGATCTACTCACTTTTTGAAGTGGATGGATTAAAGATCTACTCACTTTTTGTAATGGATGGATTAAAGATCTACTCACTTTTTGTAATGGATGGATTAAAGATCTACTCACTTTTTGTAGTGGATGGATTAAAGATCTACTCACTTTTTGTAATGAATGGATTAAAGATCTAATCACTTGTTGTAATGGATGGATTAAAGATCTACTCACTTTTTGTAGTGGATGGATTAAAGATCTACTCACTTTTTGTAATGTATGGATTAAAGATCTACTCACGTTTTGTAATGTATGGATTAAAGATCTACTCACTTTTTGTTATGGATGGATTAAAGATCTACTCACTTTTTGCAATGGATGGATTAAAGATCTACTCACTTTTTGTAATGGATGGATTAAAGATCTACTCACTTTTTGTAATGGATGGATAAAAGATCTACTCACTTTTTGTAATGGATGGATTAAAGATCTACTCACTTTTTGTAGTGGATGGATTAAAGATCTACTCACTTTTTGTAATGGATGGATTAAAGATCTACTCACTTTTTGTAATGGATGGATTAAAGATCTACTCACTTTTTGTAGTGGATGGATTAAAGATCTACTCACTTTTTGTAATGAATGGATTAAAGATCTACTCACTTGTTGTAATGGATGGATTAAAGATCTACTCACTTTTTGTAGTGGATGGATTAAAGATCTACTCACTTTTTGTAATGTATGGATTAAAGATCTACTCACGTTTTGTAATGTTTGGATTATAGATCTACTCACTTTTTGTTATGGATGGATTAAAGATCTACTCACTTTTTGTAATGGATGGATTAAAGATCTACTCATTTTTTGTAGTGGATGGATTAAAGATCTACTCACTTTTTGTAATGGATGGATTAAAGATCTACTCACTTTTTGTAATGGATGGATTAAAGATCTACTCACTTTTTGTAATGGATGGATTAAAGATCTACTCACTTTTTGTAATGGATGGATTAAAAATCTACTCACTTTTTGTAATGGATGGATTAAATATCTACTCACTTTTTGTAGTGGATGGATTAAAGATCTACTCACTTTTTGTAATGGATGGATTAAAGATCTACTCACTTTTCGTTGTGGATAAATTAAAGATCTACTCACTTTTTGTAGTGGAAGGGATAGGAGATCGATAGGCATCTGTCTAGTGCCAGTAGGGCTAAGTTCAAGGTCGAGGCCATGACAGACGTTGAAGCAAACGAGAGCACAGCCAAGCATGTGTATTTTTGTGTGATGACTAATGACGCTTCGTCTTGGAGGGCTGCGCTGTACAAGTTGGTAGTAAGAACTCAATGTCATATATTCACACACACACACACACATATATATATATATATATATATATATATATATATATATATATATATATATATATATATATATATATATATATATATATATATATATATATATATATATCCGTTAGATTTACACACATTGTTACAAGACATAATTGATTTATTTGTATAACTGACAAGGACAGTGTTTACACAAACTGTCCAATTTTTATGTTTTACTATTATTTTAGCTTTAATCACATTTCGGTTGTCGATCCAAGTTATCATTAATTGTAGCGCTACTTGCACCGGTTCCCAGAAAGATGCGCAACGGAAAAATGCGCAAACAGAAATTAGCGCACACAGAAAAAGGCGCAAACAGAAAATAACGCACACAGAAAAATGCGCAAATAGAACATGCGCACACAGATAAAGCGCAAACAGAAATTTGCGCATAGAAAAAAATACTCAAAGAGAAAATTGCGTACACAGAAAAATGTGCAAAGATGAATGTGCGCACACAGAAAACACAAGAAAAAAATTTTCGCACACAGAAAACTACACACAGATCGCTTACAAATGAGGATTATGGCAATGTGCGTGTGTTGTGTGCGTGCATGTTTGAGTTTTAACGTGCCTATATACATACATAGACGGAAATATTTTATGTCAACGTCTGTAAAATTTTATTTAATAATAAATGCGGCAGATATTTTTAAAAATTAATAGAATCTTACATTCTTAAGTTTTACGATTATAGATGCTTTTTGACCAGAGATGATAAGCCCACATGCTGTTTGACCACAGAGGGATACTAAAAGTCGATGATTAAATCGAATAAGTGGTACCCCGAGGTTTCCAATCAGATAGCTGAGTGCATGTGATCGTCGATTGGGCTTTCTGTGGGTACTACTTGATTCAACGCTTTACCTGCAACAGGGTCGGCCTTCCAACGCTTTTTGTGGACGGATGACATCAAACACTAACCAGTTACTCCGGTCGCCGATAGGTGTTCAATGTCAGGATTACGATGGGTGATTAACGTACACTCAAGACTTTCATACAGCACGTCCTGGGACGTCTAAGTAGCAGTGTGGACAAACCCGCAACCCAGCAATTAATGTCCCGAGAAATATAGCACCGGCGTCGTGGTCAGGGAAGGAGATTTAAATGTCTATGAGGGTTTAATAACATTATTTGTTCATAATATTGATATTATGAAATGAGGTGTAATTATTAAAACCCCTACCTTGTAAGTAGCAGTCATATTTTTTGATGTCCATGTTTTAACTCCGTTGTAGCCTAAAGACTAACAAAGTGTCCCACTAATAAGTTTGGCACATGGGCCCGAAAATCCTTGCTACGCCACTGTATACAGCATTCCAATGAAACTCCAAATTATACCATAATATAAAATTATACAAATTTCTTAGACAAATTTCTGTTAAAAATATCTAAAAAAAATATGTATGCCTATAAATATGAACTTGACCTCAATAACCACGGTGTTTATTTCGTCCTCCGTGTACCAGTATAAGCACTTCCAGGATTTGACGTTGAAAGTGCTTCTATTTTGGACATCTTCCTGTTTAAGTAATCAAGAAAAAAACATTCGCCGATTTGAGGGATTATGTCTCGCACCGTTCGTATACTTTTTGTAGTGGTATGGACAAGAGATCAATAGGCAAGTGTCTAATGCCAGAAGGGCCAAGTTCAAGGTCGATGCCATGACAGACATTAAAGCAAACGATAGGACAGCCAGGCATGCTTTTTTTTGTGTGGTGACTCATGAAACTTCATCTTGGAGGGCTGCACTGTTAAAGTTGGTAGTAGGAACCAATGTGATAAGTATATATATATATATATATATATATATATATATATATATATATATATATATATATATATATATATATATATATATATATATATATATATATATATATATATATATATATATACTAGCTGCATACCCATGCTCCGCCACGGTGAATCCTTTTTAAATGTACCAACTTGAGAACACAACAAAACTAAACACAAACATTTACACCCTTGCTTTGCTACGGTGTGGATATCGCCACGCTGTGGACATGGATATCACCTCAGTTAAGAACCGAATGTGATATATATATATATATATATATATATATATATATATATATATATATATAATATATATATATATATATATATGCGGCTAAGTAATGTGTCAGTCATTCCGTCACTGCTATAGATTCTATGACCATTAAAGTATACAACATATGCGTGCTTTTTACTTGCATCGCAATGTCTTTTTATAATTACTGGAGTTGGTTCTATTTATGTAAAGACTTCAATATTTTATCGTCGGCAAAGTTTTTCCTCCTTTGCATAGTCCACAGACGAACGTGAAGAAAATAATAAATACATTCACATTGCTTAAACAGATCAATGTCAAACAACATTTTCGCTTATATTCCTAGAAAAATGATATATTTTAATAATAGTAGGGTAAAAAAAAACTAATTAACTAAAATGTTTTGTAATTTTGCCAGGGTAGGTAATTTAAAAAGAAATTTAACTAACGCTAAATATTGTTATTTAAGTTTTAAAAAAATATGAATGCAAATTGCGCGGACGCCCGTGAAGACATTATTGTTTGCATAATATATTCGCGTGGAATAATAAAGTGTAATGTGGTAGGTAAAACGCGGATATTTTAAAGACTGCCTTTTATTTTTTATACACTAAACGTAGTTTACTAATAATTTATTATTTTTAAACAATCTTCTTCTTCTTCTACGTTCTTAATTGAGAATATGGAATATGGTGGAGTATCTCAGGGGCCTTGACACAAGGGCATATTTCGCCACACCCGATTTTTAGTTTTTTATGCATGTGTTGATTTAGTCTGTTATGGCCTGTTCTGAGTCGAAAGATTATGTATTGTTGTTTTCCTGTCAAATTGTAATATCCATCATCTTTATTGTAGTGAGGGTGTGTGTCAGACCACATTTGTGGTTTTTTTTTTATTAAACTTTATATTTCTTTCGGGTGTAGCGAGAATTTCGCTTGTTTTTTCATTCCCCCAATTTTTGCCAGCTGGTCCGCAATCTCATTACCCTGTATCTGGCAGTGGCCCGGGATCCACTGCAGCACAATTCTGCTGCAGTTATTTTTTTAGCCTTTCTAGTGCTATCCTAGGTGATTGAGTATAGGACTCTGAAAGAAATACTATCTGACTATTTGGAGATTCAGGGTGTTCTGACAGGAGGTTTGCTGCATGCTCTAAAGTTTATTTCTCTGCTCTAAAATTGTCGGATAGGCTGCCTGTGGCTATTGACTTTTCCAGGCTTTCTCCGCTTGGCCTTTCAATAAGGACGCCAGCCCCGCCATTTTTTGTGGCATCTTCAGCTGAGCCATCTGTGAATACTCTAATCCAGGTATTGCTGGGGTACTGGTCCTTAATGTGCTCTTTGTTATTTTTAATCAATAACAGTTTAGAAGATGCTCTTAAATGTTCTCTATGTTTATTTCTATCTTTGCAGACAAACTATAGTTATTATAGTCGTTCATTAAATTGAATCAGGCGCGTCCGCCGGCACCCCTGGAGGGTTCGATTTGGCGCCCTGCGCTATCCTGTGAGCGCTATGATGCATACTTTCGTTTTAAATAGTGCGATGAACTGTGGGTAAAACGGGTTACTATACTATATGTGTTCACTAAATCGTAACCAGGGAGCACTTTGGCGACACGGGCCTTCCTGTGAGCGAAATGGTGCCTGAGTTCGTTTTCAACAGTTCGATAGGCTATGGGTAAGAAAAAATACTTAAGTCCTTCTCTAAATCGAATCCAGGGCGTGGGCCGGCGGCCCAGCAGGTGCAATTTGGCGTGCTGGACCAGACTGTGAGCACTATGCATTATATTTGCATTTAAGTTTGTGTTTATGTTATGCGTTATTGTTTGCGTTGAGTGTTGCGTTTGATTGTATTTTTGTTTGCGTTTTCATTTGTGTTTGCGTTTTTGTGTCTTTGTGTTTGTGTTTGCGTTTTGCGTTTGCGTTGTGTTTGTGTTTGCGTGTGTTTGTGTTTTTGTTTGCGTTTGTTTTTCTTTGTGTATGCAGCTAGTATATATATATATATATATATATATATATATATATATATATATATATATATATATATATATATATATATATATATATATATATATATATATATATATATATATATATATATATATATATATATGTATATATATATATATATATATATATATATATATATATATATATATATATATATATATATATATGTATATATATATATATATATATATATATATATATATATATATATATATATATATATATATATATATATATATATATATATATATATATATATATATATATATATATATATATATATATATATATATATATATATATATATATATATATATATATATATATATATATATATATATATATATATATATATATATACAGATATACATATATACATATATACCATTGCCTGTGCGGATGTGGGTGTGAGGGAACAGGAGAATGTAATGACTGAAGTTGTGGTTAGTTCGAATGTAAAATTTTTTAAGGAAATGGTAAGAAGTATAGGGTAGTTGTATGGAAAGGGTATGAAATATTGCTAGATAGAAGGCTCAGCACCAGGAGGGGTGGGATTGTTCTAGACCCACCTGATGTAGGTGTACAACTTTAAGACAGCCGTGACCCCGACCAGGAGGTCAGCAAAGGCCAAGGACGCCAGGTACATGTCCGGTGTAGTCTGGATGCTGGGCGTGGTCCGGATGGCGATGATGGTGATGGTGTTCCCCGCGATAATGACGAGTCCGATGAAGATGGTGAGGATGGAAGGTAGCAGGGAGAAGGCAGGCAACATCTCGGCACCAGTAGAGAGGTTAGAAGAGTTTAGCGCTGTCAACATGGGTATGGGTCAGGCTGGGGAAATCAGATTTTACATGGACAAGGGTTAGTCTGGAAATTTTATATAATTTCAGATTAAAATATTATATCATATTAGTAGCTCTGTATCAACTTTTGGCGATTTCCATTAACCGAAAGTGGTACATACTTCCGGTTTCTTTAAGTCAATTACTATAAAACGAAACTAAAGAATAACTAATTAAGGAATATTTTTAAAAACATGCTTTTTTAGCCAAGTAAATAATTGGGAAATGTTAAGACGGATTGATGGGAACTTTGTGTGTACGTTCGAAATGATCTAGACCGAATAAGCGACCTTCGAATTGAATGATGATTTTATGTAAACATAACTATGCAATGTAGCTTACAAACTTTTTTTTTGAATTTATTTTATCGGCAAAGTTTTGAGTGCAAATTGCAACAAATTTGGGTTTTCAGAAGATCGAGCACAGAGTTTCAGTACAGTCAATCAATACTTGTCTTACTATATATACATATATATATATATATATATATATATATATATATATATATATATATATATATATATATATATATATATATTACGGTCAAAGCCCGAAGTGCGGCCAAAGCACGCATTGGCCGGCTTTCTTGCCCAAAGCCCAAAGAGCTTAGCACTGAGAGCGTATTTAGTACATTGACCGGCCAATGTGCGCACTGGCCGGGATGTCCTGGTCAATGTCCTATCTAGACTAATTTGTGATCGCGTTTTTATTATTGTGGGTGCAGTTTCAATTTGAGTAACGTATTTTTTGGCTCTTGTTTTTATAACATTCTATATGCTATGGACCAAAAGGGACGTCAGACAAAGAGACAGACATACCAGATGGCTGCCAAAATATTTCCGAATTAAAGAAGATATTGCCTTAACTTAAACTAGTTCACAGAAAACCAAGGCATAGCCATAGGTTCAGAAGAACGTGCCAACCAAGATGTTCAAAATATGATGATGACATGGATGCAGACAAATGAGTTAGCTCAATGGGCTTAGAGTCTCAAATCAAATTCATTCACGTACGAAGCTTTGTTTGGATGCACTTCAAACCTACCAAGAGAGGCTCTCGATAATTTAAATACTGGGTAAGATCATGAGAACATTGAACAAGAAATGCCATAAATGCAACCACATCTTCAGCTAAAATAAATGCTGCCATGGCGGAATGTCTAGAACAGTTGAGTTACAATAATATGACCAACAGGCTGTATAGTTTGAGAAAAATGTTGTAGTGCAGCCCATTCTTGGGGGTCATCCATAAATGACGTCACGCTTTTTTAGACGATTTTTACCTCCCCCTCCCCTCCGTCACACGTCGTCACAAAAAGCCAGACCCTCCCACATGAAATGTCGTCACACCTCCGGAGGCGTCGCAACCCCCCCCCCCCCCCCCCTCGGAGTCCAGGGTGAACTTTCAATTAGGCGCTTCCCCCCAATATAAATATATATATATATATATATATATATATATATATATATATATATATATATATATATATATATATATATATATATATATATATATATATATAAATATATATATTATTTTCGTTCCCTAAAACTTTACTTCACGCCAATTAAATTCCATTTAAGATGCATTATCCTTTTAAAAAGGATTAGTAATGTCTGAAAATAATAAACATCATCTGTGTTTAAAAGAAGTTTGCAGCAGAAGCTAATCCGATTAGGCCAGTCTTGTTATGTTCTATCTTTGGAACAGTCTCTAGTATAGTATGGTAGATAGCTGGATTATAAGTTTGTTAGAATATGTTCATACAAGTGACCTACAATAGCAACTTATTAGAGACATTTATGATTTATTGTACACATTGAATTTAAATGCATTATCAAAACATTCAATCTGGATCTTTAGCTAAATGTGAAGTCTCTTTAACTGTATGGCTAAGAGCTTGGTGGTTACAGACAATGGAGAATGAAATAAAAGCAACGAAAGGTTGTGGTTAGGGCACAATATCAGTAAGACAGTAAATAACATCACTAGGCAGGTGCTGGTGTAAAGTCCTCGGGGAAAGAGAAAGTGAAGGAGACCAAAAAAGTCTTAAAGGAAATCGTTTGAAATAGAGATGGGGAGGCTGGATTATTAGGGTAGCTACGCCTCTGCACACCTCAGCCTACAACCCCCCCCCCCCCCCCTCAAAATTGCAGTTGAATTTTTTTTAAACATCGATATGTTCCCAAAATCTTGTCTGAACTCTGTCAAAGTAGAGTGTTTTAATCAATTCCTATTACAATTTATTAAAACAGTTTTCTAAAACGCAAAATGACGTCTAAAATTCGTTTTCTAACATTGCTTTTTTATAATGCAAAAGTTTGACTCGCACCATCTGATCCCCCCCCCCCTCCCCCTCATCACACACCGTCACAAAATTACGGATCCCCCCTCCCGCTACGAGTGTAACGTCATTTATGGACGACCCTTGTGGATCCTGTGGCAACGATCTCCATGCAATTTGCTGAATAGCTAATAAAGCAGATGAAGAGTACGGAAGGGACATTACTTTTAGACTAGCCCGGTACCCGTTTCAAGTGAATTATAGGCCTATATATTTTAAAATGCTGTACTTGTAGGAGAGAAAAAAATTATAAAATAGTTATTGGTAAAACGCAATGTGCTTTACTACACGCTGAACAATATTTGTGACAAAGCAAAGAAATAACTAATTAGCCAAAAATCCGACAAATTTAACATAACACAGGCACACACTGATTAAGTGACTAAAATGATTCCGTTAAAAACTCGGCTATTCAATTGTATTCTTCGTGTTTTTAAAGTGATTTATTTTTATTAGGTTTTTATGTATAAATCTATAGATTTAAATGAAATTGTTAATTTCTTCATCGGTAACAATACCTTACTCAATGCACTCGCTGATTAAGAGACTTAAAATTAAGAGACGTAAAACATTTAGTTAAAAACCCGGCAGTTATGTTGTTTTTGTTTTTTAAAATAAAAAAATTATTATAGGAATAGATTCTAGAGTAGATTATAGTCTAAATCTAGATCTTAGCGTCTGCGTCTAGTTTTTCCGTAGATCTAGTCTAGATCTAGAATCTCTAGCTCTAGAATCCAAATAGATAAAGTAAATTTTATAAGTTTAGGCCGAGAAGATTGTATTATATAAATCTCATAGCGTGCGTAGATCTAAATCAAATTTGAATGAAATAGTTCATTTCTTTAAATTCTAAAATTGGAAGATGACGCCATGAACTTTGTGTAAACATTTGGCCATTGACGTCATTGTTTTATGCGTTCTTTTTCACAACTATAAACACATTTCCTGTTGCATAGTTAAAACTGTTTTTCTACATTCGAATATGCCTTATTTTTTAAATTTTCTTCTTTAAATAAATTGTAGTTATACATTTAAAATATCTACCATATTATTTTCAACAAAAATCCGTATCAAATTCTCCATATATCGCTGAAGATTCTGATGTGATATCCGGCGAAAATATTTTGCGGACAGAGAGAGAGAAGTGCGCACATGGTCTTTTATATATTAGGATTATGTTGTAAAAAACAAGAAATCATGGGCAACAGGTCAGCAGCTATACCAGCATGCAAACTCAAGGTGCAAAGATGCTAAGAAAATCAGATACAAATGTTAAATAAGCTGAAGTGGGAGATAATGTTCCCATTTGTATACCAGATGTTGACAGAGGTCGCAGTGATCCCTGCATCGTCATTACAGTTGTCATGAGCGTCGAGTACCATAAAATAATTTGAATATTTCTGTCATTTACTTTAATTAATAATCAATGAATACTTAATTTTATGATCCTTACGGTATAAAAAAAAACCAAAATCTGCTGATTATCTTCTAATTCTGACTTAGGCCGGTCGTCCCTAGCCATATAATCTTCTGATTTGGACTTTGGCCAGTCCACCATAGCCAGTCCGCAAATTGGCTGGCCAAAGACCGAAATCAAGTAAATTTTCGGACATTGACCGGTCAGTGGGAGGCAATATTGGCGAATGCGCGCTTTGGACAACTTCGAGCTTTGACTGTATGTATGTGTGTCTGTCTGTTTGTTTGTTTGTTTATTTAGAAAAAGTCTGAAAGAAACACTGGTGTCGCGCATAGCCACTACGCGAAGAATTGCATTAAAGAAATTGCAAGAAAACCACTTTTTAGATTAGACACATTAATTAGGCGGTAATTTTATTATAGAGTATCGATGAGGAAATTTCTTTTGAGTTGGGGAGGGGGGGGGGGGGCTCAGACGTTCTTACGCGGGGATGGGGCTTCGCCCCTACCCGAAGAATTGTATGAAAGAAACTCTTCACGCAAACCACTTAGATTAGACAAAATTGCCTTTGTATTCAATGTTTACTCGATAATCAATGACGTCATATTACTGTGTGCACTCTCCGGCTTGACTCTGTGCTAAATGTGGCGACGTCATACTTCGTTTTTCGAATTACTATGCAGGTTTTTAATTTCCTTGTGTTTTCTCTATAGCGTTCTTGTCAGATAGAATTTTTGCTTATGTTTTCTCTAGAGCGTTCTTGTCAGACAGAGCGTTCTTGTCAGATAGATAGATACATACATACACAGACAGCGAAACTATTATTATAGATGTACCAACTTGGGACAAAACGAAACAAACAAAACACAACCACAACACAACCACAACACATTCACAACACAACCACAACACAACCACAACATAACCACAACACAACCACAACACAACCACAACACAACACAACCACAACACAACCACAACACAACCAGAACACAACCACAACACAACTACAACACAACCACAACACAAACGCAACACAACCACAACACAACCACAACACAACCACAACATTATAATCACCAACGAACAACACGTTTTCCTAG